AAACTGCAAGGCTCTACTGTAAAATGCAAGGCTAGAAGAATCCTTGACTCCCAGAAGTATACACCCTCATTTTACCCCAAACCTATCTTTCAGTCTTTAACCATGAAAACTGCTTCCACCACTCTCATCCACACTGACTCCCTCTTCCTTAGATTGTGCCACACAATTAATAATCATGCATTGTCATATTCACAAATTGACTTTTAACAATCTTTCTTACAGTTTAGCCTCTGAACAAGGAAATTAGAATGATCTAGTTTTTGTAGTCTCCCTAAATACCCAGTCCATAGTAAACACTTATAATTGCCCTGTCAACATCATCTTCGAAGGAGCTTTCTCACGGTAGGCAAATGGTGGTGGTCCCCTAAAGCAAGGGCTTCCTGTAGGCTAAAAGCACTCTGTTCCTATTTTTACTCAGCATTAATTTTCATGAGGCCCACTGCCTAAAGAAAGCCTTCTCTACCACTCTCACTGGTAGCAGTTGGTATTGCTTGGACAAGCTCAAAGTTGTAAAGCCTTTCTCTGTATACCTATAATGCCTCCAAAACATTAGTAAATTAAGCTCTTCCAAATATTCAGACTTGCCACTCTAATGATGATGCGAACCTAAACAGTTCAGAGTTATATGTAACTGTACCCGGAAAAGGTGTTAACTCTCAAAAAAACCCAAACAACAACAACAACCCTTCCTAAAACAGGTGTGAATCCAGTGTCTAGAGATGTCTAAATTTTTCCCTTGCTGGAGCATCAAGACCCATGAGAGAAGCTTCTTGCTGCAGGCCAAATTCAGTCAAATGAGTTTGCTTCCTCCATGTCCCCCATGGATATACCCCCAACTCCAAAGGCACAGCAATAAATGCAAAGAACATTTAGTCTAATACATCAAGGTAAAGATGACAGAGCAGTGTTCAAGAATAAATCTACTTGGTGTGGGGGGGGGAAGTGTGGAGGCAAATATATTTGCCTACTTACAAGAGTTCAAAAGGCCAAGAGGGTGCCAAAATAAGTCCAGATAATACTGTCAACCTTAAGGCTACATGGAATTTAGAAAGCTCCCCGTCATGGCCATTTGGTAGTTTCCAGAGTAGGTAGGAGAAAGAAGCTAAAATCTGCTGAGCTGATCAGTTCTGTGTCAGGTGCCTTACTCATATCCTTTTATTTAATGAAAGTAGAGAAAAGGGGTTCTGGATCTAGTATAAGGAAGGAGTTCCTGAGGGCACGCAGACAAATTGAACTTTTAGGAAGTCTTCAGCTTTGCCTCCAAGGGAGACTGCTTTGTGTATTAATAGCAAATGATAGACTAACAGAACCCATAGGCAAGATAGGACTTTGCTGTTTTGTTGAAAATGCTGACCTCCACAGCTCAGGACCTCCTCTAGCTCAGGAGTTAGAGGATATATTGGACAGCTCCTTCTTTGTGGAACCGGAACTACCTGAATTTTTCCAACTATAAGATGGGACACTAAGTCCCTGCAAACAGCTACTCTGATTCACAGAGCATCAACTAAAAAGAAATGGCCATTCATACATTAAATCTAAAAGATGCCTCCTCCCCCACCAAGGGCAAAAGCAAGGCCATGATCAAAAGTCCTTAAAACACAGTATTGTGACTCAACAGTATTTCTGAAGACATAAGTATTCCTTCTCTTTTAAAAATTCAAGCTACACTGGGCACAGTGGCTCATGCCTGTAATCCTAGCTTTTGGGAGGCTGAGATTGGGAGGATCAAGGTTTGAGGACAGCCTGGGCAAATAGTCTGCAAGACCTCATCTCCAAAATAACCAGTAAAATGGACTGGAGGTGTGGCTTAAGTGGCAGAATGCCTGTTTTGCAAGAATGAAGCCCTGAAAAAAAAAAAAAAATCAAGCTACAAGATTTTACTTCTTTGTAATATAGCAAGCATTCTGTCTTCCAAATAATACCATCTCATGTTGTTCATATTGTGCTTATTATAGAATTTCACCTATGTTAACTAGTTAAACCCCTATAACATTTTAGATAGGTAACGTGGTACTCCATCCAGCTATTAAGACACTAATTAAGCCCAACATGGTGTTGCATGCCTATAATCTCAGCACATGAGAGGCTAAGGGGAGGACCAAAAGTTCAAGGCCAGCCTAGGTTACACAACAATATGTTGATTACTATAATTTTTTTTTTTTTCTGGTACTGGGGTTTGAACTCAAGGCCTACACCTTTAGCAGCCCTTTTTTGTGATTTTTTTTTTTTTTTTGAGATAGGGTCTTACAGAACAATTTGCTGGGGCTGGCTTCAAACCATGATCCTCCTGATGTCTGCCTCCTGAGTAGCTAGGATTACAGGCCTGAGCCACCAACACCTGGCTAGAAACATGCTTCTTTCCTGCATGTTAATACTGATGCTAAAGGGCCCAACCCTTAGGGGATAAAGGCTCTCCATTACCTCAAGGACCAAAAATTAAGTGTTTTAAAAACTCTACATATGCTCAGTGTCAGTGTTTGCTGGTAATTAACCAGGGAACAAAGTGCTTCTATTATCCATGTTCTCGTCACAGGCATTATTAGCTCAGGGACAACAGCTACTCTAAGCAAGGTGTAAGGGAGCCTAGTCATAGACTGAGGAAAGGACTGGTATTTGGCCTATCTCATATCCACTCAGGTATTCTGCCTCAATATGATGTGCTGTTGGGGGCTGGAAGGAGAGGTCATTAAAGAAAGTAGTGGCTCTACTTCTTGGTTAGGAAGCAGAACCTGAGCTGTGGCTGTGTTGTAACCATATGTTGTAAAGGAAAGTTTAGGATGTGCCAGACATCCAGAGAAAGAGGCAGGCAAAGGAAGCAATAGTTTCCTTTCTGCTAGGGATTCCGTTCTTGGGTTAAGCAGAAGTTTTGTTTGTTTTTTTTTTTTTAAAGTCCCTCTTCCAGTGTTAATAATGCCAAAGAACAACAGAAATTCCAGGAGGCAGAGGATTCTAAAATGTGTTACACGAGGCTGGGGATGTACCTCAGTGATAGACTGTTTGCCTAAAATACGATGAAGTAGTGGTGTCCGCATTATTCTTTATAATTTCTTTCTTTTTTTTTTTTTGTGGTACTGGGGTTTGAACTCAAACCTTTATGCTTACAAAGCAGGTGCTCTATCACTTGAGCCACACCTCCACCCCGTCAATCTCTTTGTAAAGCCACAACATCAACTGTTTTGGAAGAGAACCAGCTAGGTCTCAAGTCTAATAGGGAATCAGATGCTCTGTTATTTAATACACACACCTTAATGATAGCCACAATGCTGCAGAATGGTTGCAACAGGCAAAATCGTGTAGCAGGAACGCAATGAATGCCTATTTAGGGAATGGCCTTTGGTTGGGAATGGCAGCAGTAACTACACACTGATGATCATTTTACCATTCTTGCAACTCAAAGTAACTATAACTTTTCCTACTGTTCTATATCTCACAACCACACTTTAACATATTTTTACCTTATTAAATGTAGTCAGGATTCTTCAGAGTCATCAAGGTTTAAAAAGACTTTTCAATTTACTCTTAAATTCATCAAATAAAGAAGCTCCCTTGTTCTGTGTCTTTTAATTAAACTAGCCTGGAGAAACAAGCAATTCAAAGTCTCTAGTGAGAATTGTCTTCCATTCATTACTGTATTGCTTGCTCCTGCTTCTTGATTCCAAATAACTCTATTTGGTTTCATTCAACTGAACACTTGAACAAGGAAAAAGAGGAAAGATCCAAATGAAGAGTTACAATTGTTATACTACCTCCTGTTGCACAAATAACCAGTTACTTCCAATCTTCTTCCATTTTAGGATATTTCCCTTCCAAAATCCTGACCAAAGACAGAGCAATTTTTCCTGTTGCACTATTCCTAGAAAATTCTCTTTTTCTTTTGGGGGGGGTCTTTGGGGGGGATAGGGGTGTTTTACTGGGATTTGAACTCAGGGCCCTTTACCTGCTAGGCAGAGGCTCTACCACTTAAGTCACTCTTCCTACCTCCTAGAAAATTCTCCTAAATTGCTTAAAACAACTTTCCTTCATTTATTTAGCTTATATTCTACAAAAGCCATTTATATTTCCTCCACCTCTTCTTTATATTCTCAGGTACTGTTTGGCTAGGTTAAAATAAACAAACAAACCAAAAATCTACTATCTTTCTGTAAAAATCAATTCTTTACTCTTAAATAGTGCCTGTGGTTTTTCAAAGGTGTTCTTCATTTAATGAACCATTTTGTGCTGCCTTCAAATCTCTCAAATAGAGATGAAAAATGTCACCCTTCTCCTTGTCCTCTACTTCAGTCATTCAAATAAATTTCAGTTTTTATTATTTTATAATCTTTTCTGTGAGCAACAAATTTCTCTATTCAGTCTCTCACAGCTTTTTCTTCCATTTTACCCTCTTCCTTAAGTCTGGAATTATTTTAGCTAAAAGCCATTTTTGATTTTTGCTGTGTCTTAAAGGCAACACAGATGTTCAAGACTAAGCAGCACTTGCTGGATGTGTGGCTCAACTGGTAGAGCATCTGCTTGGCAAGCACAGAGTTCAAACCCAAGTGTCACCAAAATAAATAAATAAAAATAAATAAATAAATAAATAAATAGCATGGAACCCATGCCTTAAGATATATTCCTAGCTATTGGTTCTGGGGAAAAAGTCTTAGGAATTAATCACTTTTCTTAACCTTGGATATTAACAGATAACTGAGTTTTGGCTTTCAAAACCTATAACTATGTATATAGCTGGCTTCCGTCCCAAGAGCTAATAGCTTGTGCTTGAGTGCTTATTACACCAACAGGCCAGTTAATTCAGTCCACTGACAAAGAGCATAGCCAGAATTACTGTTCAAGTCTGTTAATACAACTTTTTTGTATCACTAGAGCATAGCTAGTTGTCACATGACTGCTGAGAAAACCACATCCTTTCTGAGCAAAGCATAGTTTGTTGGGCTGACTAGAGTCACATAAACCTCACAGCCCAGCACACTACTGCCTCCGCTGGCTGTTAGAGCAGCTCGTACCTCTTCATAATTTTTCGCCTCCACACCATGCTTCATATCTAGGATGACGAGCTGGTCAGGTATCCGCCCTGTTCCTGAGAAAGAAATCAAAAGATTCATTGTGCAGAATACTTAAAATTCCGGGAAATCACCCACCTACCCTCCCTCCCTCTCCCTACACCCTATCCTCTCAATAGAGGGAAACAGCCTCAACTCCTCCCCCTGCTCAGCTGCAGAAAATTCCTGGCTCAGGCTAAAATCACAAACATTCCAGACAAAGCCTCTATCTGTGTGGGGTGCTGGAAAGCAAGAACATGCTGCTGGCAAACATCTCCAAGCAGACAGGACACAAGATACTGCAGCGGGTACTACAGAGGAATCGGACAGAAGAGAAAGCACAGGCTTACTGGATTGGGAGACAAAACACCTAAGTATAAAACTGAGTGACATACAGATCAATAGGGAGTGGGCAGCAACTGAGGCTGAAAATACACATTTCCACACCTGAGAAGAATGCTGTCAGAGACTGAGAGAACACTATGCTTAAATAGGATTACTGGGCATATGCAAAGTTTGGACTTGTTTTAACATAAACCTCAGTATTGAAAACATAGGTTTTCTGTAATTCTAGCACTTAGGAGGCTGAGGTAGGAGGATTGCCAGTTTGAGGCCAGCCTGTGCTATATACTGAATTCCAGGCCAGCCTGGGGCTACATAGTAAGACTCTAGGTCCAAAAAAAAAAAACAACCAATAAAATGTTGCAGGGCTATTCCCACTAAGCCCTTAAAAGGGTAGGAAAGCTTCAAGGAAAGAAAACAAACTGCCCAAGGGTTGTTTCTTAGAAAGAAAACGTCCACTTGTGACAACAAGGCCAACAATGCAACATTCATATTGGAAACATTAATCTGATTCAGCTTAGTCAAAAGGGATTCTAATCTTAAATCATCAAGCAGAAGAAAGGGAGAGACTCAGAAAACCATTCAGCTCCAATACCCTGGATTTCACCTATTTATAAAATAAAAAACTGCCTGCTGCCAGGCACCAGTGGCTCATGCCTACAATCCTAGCTACTCAGGAGGCAGAGATCAGGAGGATCTCGGTTTGAAGCCAACCTGGGCAAATAGTTCTAGAGACCCTACCTCAAAAAAATCCTTCACAAAAATAGGGCTGGTGGAGTGCCTCAAGGTGAAGGCCCTAAATTCAAGCCCTAGTACCGCAAAAACAAAGCAAAACAAAACAAAACCTTGCATGCATGAAATCAGAAGTTTTAGGAAATATAGTGCCACTTTAAGTGCTGGAGTTTCTTGAGACCATAAGCCATAGAGATGGTTACTGTATCTTCTGCTGACAGAGACACTTGAGGTTTTCTGAAATGGACTAAAAAGTCAATTCAAACACTACTAGTTAAGAACTCATACCAAAGACTACTGTTCAAAGGTACAGTCTCTACCTTCAAGTAACTTGATAAGAATCTAAGACATACACACACATAATAGCTATGGTGAAAATGGGAAGCTTTATAGAATTTTAAGCCCAAACCACTGCCTCAGCTAATCCTAGCTGTGGAGCAAATGTTAGAGGAGGGAAGAGATGAGCTGTGGACTGACTTTATTAAGATGGGAGCATCTGAAAGCAGATCTAGAGCAAAACATTCTAGACAGCAGGCAAACATGGACAGAGGTCCAGATATGGAAATGAGCATGGGATGTTTAAAAGACAATAAAGAACTCCTTTTGGATAGACTAGGAAGATCAACTTGGAAGCAAAAGAAATAAGACTATTTAGGTAAGATTAAGAACAGACTAAGAAACCACAGATGACTTCTGAGCATGAAACCAACAAATGCTTCTTTCTCTTTTTGTTTTTGTTTTCGTGTAGTACTAGAGATTGAACCCAGAGCCTCATGCATATTAGACAAGCACTCAACCCCTTGGCCTATGCCCTCAGTCCCCCAAAAGTCTTCAAAAAAACCCCAAAACCCAGAGCAGTCTTTTCTCCCAAATCTGAAGGGTAATCCTGATGATGACATTACCATAGGAGATATAACGCAAAATTTGCTCTCCTTCCTCATTCAAAAAGATGTAAGGGTGGGGGGAGTAGCTCAGTGGTAGAGCGCTTGCCTAGATAAGCACAAGGTCCCCGTTCAATCTCCAGCACCACAAAAAATAAATTTATTAATTAAATAAAAGTAAAATCCAAGTAGCTCCCAGCCCTATCTCGTCCAAGTGATCAGATATTCTCTTCATAAGGGAGTCTTCAGACTACCTCCCTGCAACAAACATTACAGCCCAGTATTGGCATTTTCCAAGCCCAAGTGAAACCACCAAACCACAGACCTCTGGCTGGTCTGAATCCAAACTACATAGTCATTTGCAGAGAACAGTTAGCCTATACCTTTAGCTGATATCTTGGCCTTAAAGGGTTTCCTTTGTTATAAAACAAATAAACAAAAAACCCTTCCAGTAATCTCTCTCTGCATTTTCCTGGCAAATAGATAATCTTTTGTCTTTAAAGACTATTACAGCAGTTTTAGGTTCATAGCAAAATTGAGACGGGACAGACATTTCCCATATCTCCCTTATCCCACTCATGTATAACGTCTCCCATTGTGGACATCTGCTACCAGAGTTGTATGTCTGTTACAAATAATGAAAATATACAACATATCATTACCATCCAAATTCCATAGTTTATATTACGTTCCCTCTTGGGATACATTCCAAATGTGATATTGGGATAAATTATCTATCATTATAGTATCACATGATATATTTTCATTGCCCTAAATATCTGTGTTCTACTTTGTCAATCTTTTACTCCACCTAGACAATCTTTTAGAAGATGCTCCAAAGATCAAGTCTCCCTGTCAGAATTAAAAAAAAAAAAAAAAAAACAGATTGAAACCAGAAATCAAATGCCTAACTATAGCAGGGGGCACTGGAGTTAGGGAAGATGCTTAATCCAGGGAAAATACTCTTATTACGTACCCTTGCTCTCAAAACATACTTCAAACATATCATAATCTTCAGTGGTAAAGGCAAATTTCCCCTTGGTTGCATCTTCCTTGGAGTACAGAATATGGCCAGCAGAATCTGTGATCTAAAATTAAAAATTAAGTAAGAACAATGAGCAAATTAACACTCAGGAAGGGTACTTATAGAAACTGGGAGAGAAAGACTTATCTCTAAAAGATAGCCCATAGTTCTCAGTATGATGACTATGGTCCAACCATCTCCAAAGACAGGATCTGGATTAGAAGAGAAAAGCCCACATACAGTAAATTTCATTCATTTAAACAGCCTAACCACACTGCAGACTAAAATCTGTTGCTGCTACAGGATGTCTTACCAAACCAAAAATTGATCCAGCCAATGGTCCAAATTACATAACTTCAGTTTACTGGAAAAATTCACTTTATAGAATATAGATTTGCATTATTCCCTATGTGCCACAAAAATGGAAGTGGACAATTACCAAAAGAATACACAACAGGGAAAAAGAAATATAAAAACATTTCTTCTATAAGATAAAATCTTGATGTGCAAGGGGAGGGGTATAGAATGGATTTAGGACACCTGGTTATAAGGACAGAAGGGGGGAAAGGCATTCACAGAGAAGAACATCTGGGAGTTCTATTCCTGTAAACTTTGTCAATGGCCACATAGGGTGGGAGCAAGACATGGGGAATAAACAAAGTTTGTCCTAAAAAAAGACATCTTTGGCTTTCAAAAATGATTCCTTTCTTATAAATTTTTCTTAGCTTTAGTTCTCCAAACTTAAACTGCTCTACTACTAACGAATGGTCATAAGCACATATGAAGGGACATATGTAGGTAAGTGAATGGTCACATATAAACAAGGGTAGGACATAGTACTTTAAGAGATTGGGTTCAGGCTAAAAAGTACCAGCCTATCTGAGCAAAAGGTGTATTTTATCACCCAAGACAGGAAGCTACATGGAAATGTAAAAAACAAAAGTAGTGGTTTCCTCATAGTAAACTAGATTAGATGTTCTAATGCTACTGAACTTTTTTTTTTTTTTTTGCCGTCCTAAGGTTTGAACTAGGGGGTCTCATGCTTGCAAGGCTCTTTTTTGTGTTGGGTATTTTCAAGATAGGGTCTAATTATTTGCCCAGGCTCGCTTCAAAACATGATTGTCCTGCATTCTGCCTCCTGAGTAGCTAGGATTACAGGCATGAGCCACAGGAGCCTAGCCACAATTCTTTTATAGGTGAAATTTTAATAGGAAAATTGAGTATTTAAGCATATATATTCAAAGTTACTTTTTAGTAGCAATTATTTGAGTGGTTTTTTAATTTTCTATAAAGACATATAATTTATGGTCAAAAATAATAAAGCTATTTCATTTCAGAAAAATCCATAATAACTAAAGAAAATTATCACTAGATAAATTTGAAAGGATGTGTTAATAAAAAAGGTTTTATGACACATTTTCTAATAATAGCAGTTAATATTAGTCTAGTGTTTTCTATCACCCAACATCCTTCATTAATTTGTCAAGTATTTAAGATACCTAGATCTGTGCTGGTTACTGGGTACAGGAGGAGTTAAGACAGTTCCTGTCTTCAAAGGGCTTAAAAGTTGATAGGAGAAGAGGGATAAGAAATAAGACCGCTTCATTTTGGTTTTGTTTTGCGCTTCCCTGATAATTACTGATGCAGTTTTTTGTGCTGGTTATTTGTATGAGGTGATGGATTATGTTAGTTAACTTGATTATGATAATCATTTCATAATGCCTATCAAAGCATCATGTTATATACCTTGAATATATATAATTTTTATTTGGCAAATATACCAAAATAAAGCTTGAAGAAAAGGAAAACAAGATGGCTTCACTGCAAGGTAGAGTGCACTGCTAGAGATACACACAGGTGTGTGGCATTTCGAAGGACCACAAGGTATTTTGGAAGGAGTCCTAAGGTGAATCTCAATAGAGGAAAAATAGGGTTAAAGATATTCAGGATAGAGATGGCAAATAATGAAGACTGCAGGTGAAATGCACAGAAGCCAAAAGACTAATACGCTTTTCAGATTCTTTGCAGCAGTATAAATCAGAGAGCTCAGAGTCCTCTTAAGTGGAATACAGCAGTGTTCAGTCTGCATTCTCACCTAAGAGAGAGAGCAAGGAGCCATCAGGTAAAGACCCTGAAGTTGCCTAGTGGTGGTAGTGTGTTTGTGTGTGGGGTGCTCATATCTGTAATCCTAGCTACTTGGGAGGCTGAAGATCACAGTTCAAGACCAGCAAAGGCAAATAGTTCACCAGACCCTATCTCCAAAGTAACTATAGCAAAATTAACTGGAGATATGGCTCAAGAAGTAGAGCACCTGCTTTGCAAGCACGAAGCCCTGAGTTCAAACCTCAGTCCCACCAAAGGGGAGAAAAAAGAAAAGAAAGAGAGATCTTGAAGTCAGCAACAGCTACACAATCTGCAAGGGAGGGTTCATAAAAGCCTCTTGTTTGTGGGATACTTTTTCTGAATAATTGACTAAGAGAAAAAGCATGAAAAAGGACTACTTGGGAACACTGGCTATGATATATTACTAGACAAAGAGATCTGAGAACTAATCAAATCCCAAAGTAATGAATTAACAACTATACTGTACCACTCTTCCTTTCTTCAGAATCATTTCACCCATGCCAGCACTTACTTCTGTACTCCTAGCCCCCAGAAGCATAATGCCAACCTTAAGAGCAAGAAGGAAGTTCCAAAAAGTATACTGTAGAAATGATAGATTTTCACATGCTGATATGAAAACCTTCATTTGGACTTGGTTCCTATGAATGAAGTTGCAGACAACATAGAACTTCTCCAGGGAATTTATGTAAAAATAAGTTTCTAAAATTGCTCATTTCACTAGTTTAATTCTTAAAGGAGAAGGTAAGAATTACACCACTTTCATGCAAGGAAAGAGACCAGGTCACCAACCTAGGACAAACAACTCAATTTAACAGGGTTTACAAAATTTGGCACACATTTGCCCAAGTACCATCTTTCCAGGAAGAACAAACTATTATCTCTTTATTTTCTGCTAAGATGCTAAGTGTCCTTCATAATTTTTTTTTTTAATTTAAGGAAAGGAGTCTCTAGTCATAATGATGCTTAAATGTAGGTCATAAAACCATTAGTGTACCAGGGAGGAGGACCAAAAGGGAAACAGGCTGTGTTCTGATAATGAGGGAGGGGGAAGGAATGGCAAAGCAGAGAGATAAAACGTAAAGAATTAAAACATGAAGAAGGTCACACAGCACTGGGGCAATAGAATAGCCAATGAAATCACATGCAGCCATATGTGGGTTGAGCTTTGATTTTTGCTTCTGTAAAAGGTGAGACCTCTATGTCCTCAGGGCTCAGCCTTTGGACACCAGTCTGTGCCAGCAAAAAAACCCAATGCTGCTTCCTGCTAAACTGCCTCAGTGTCCCGTATCTCACTCAGCTTGAGATTCCCAAAACATTAGGGCATTCACAAAAATGCTTCATGGAGTTCTTTGCAAAAATAAGAAGTTTGCCACATTTTTCTGAAGAACTCCAGAAAAAATCCACACCTCCAACTGGTACTTAGAAGAAGTAAACATTGTTTAAATGGTTCTCAGCCAGGTGCCTGTGGCTCACACCTGTAATCCTACCTACTCGAGAGGCAGAAATCAGGATCTCAAGAGGCCAGCCCAGGCAAATTGTTTATGAGAACCTATGTTGAAAGAAAAAAAAAAAAAAATCACAAAACGGACTGGTGGAGTAGCTCAAGTGATAAAAAAAAAAAAAAAAAAGCCTGCCTAGCAAGCATGAGGTCAAGTTCAAACCCCAGTACTGCTAAAACAATAAATAAATGAGTAAAATTGATCTCTTTCATGATTGCAGTTTAATCATGGAAGAATCAATTACTTTGTTCTGAGATTCGAAAAATCAGAGATTCACAATAGGGAAAAGACTTAACAGTATTGCTAAAGGACACAAAGGACCCACCAGTGCAGCATTTTATTAGCATGAAACTTACTTCCCAGGAATAATGTATGATAACACTCACCTTCCCTTAGGGCCTTTACAGTTCTATACCCCCCATAACTTTCGGCCAACACAACTACGGAAGGGTATTTATCTGGATATTTGGAAATCCAGGCAGGTAACTTGACAACTGAACTTTCAGGTTGGACTAACTCATATGAACTACTGGGCATTTTAACAAAGCCTAAGATTTTTCCAAAAACTAGTACGCTTTCTATCTAGTTTCCATAACTTCACAATTATTTGGTAGCAAATAATCCCAACATCATTACATAAATAAGCGCGTAGCTAAAATTTAGGAAATAGGAAACGAACAGACTAATCAGAGTTGATAAAGTCAAGTTGGGTGAAACGATGGCTTTTAATTTCCTTTAATTAATTAAAATGTTCTGATTACAGATCACACCTTGAAAGGTCACCTGGATTCCCCAGAATTAAGAGGTTTTATTTTTTTCTTCGTAAATTCTACTCAAGGGCAGGGAATGTAGCTCAGTAGAGTGCTTATGAAACGCATGCAAGACCCTGGGTTCAATCCCCAGCACCACAAAAAATTAAAAATCTACGAGAAGCTGGATGCCAGTGGCTCACACCTGTAATCCTAGCTACTTGGGAGGCTGAGATCAGGAGGATAGAGTTTCAAGGCCAGTCTGGGCAAAGAGTTCAAGAGATTCCATCTCCAAAATAACCAGAACAAAATGGACTGGAGTATGACTCAAGAGGCAGAGCTCCAGCTTTATGCACAAAGCTCTGAGTTCAAAAACAAAACAAAACAAATAAACAAAAAAAACCACCTGCTAGAAAACTACCCTGGCAACATGTAAATTATTATTGCTTTCAATGTACCATAGTAACATGCCCTTAAAGGGTTTTTTTTGCTGTACTGGGGCTTGAACTCAGGGCCCCATGCTTGCTAGGCTTACTATGCAGGCACTCTATCACTTGAGCCACTCCACCAGGCCTGTTTTGTGTTGGGTATTTTCAAGATAGGATCTTGAAAACTATTTCCCCAGGCTGGTTCTGAGATCTTCCTGATCTCTGCCTCCTGAGTAGCTAGGATTACAGGCATTAGCCACCACT